CAGCTTTTGGGGGTGTAGAGGTGGGCACCAGGAATGTGCAGCTAGTGCAAGCTTGTGCATGCTGCAGTCACACTCCAGGCCTCCTGTATCCACCACCCCAGAAACCTGTGGTGATGTCCAGGAGAGCCCAATACTTTTATTCATGTTGCTGTTTTCACGTGATGTTGGTTTAATGGTAGAGATTTGGGTGGCCAAAAAAAAGTAGGGTGCTGGTCTTGATGTTTTGTTTTGTTCCTTTCCTGCAGAATTCGATCCGGCACAACTTGTCACTCCACAGCCGATTCGTCAGGGTGCAGAATGAAGGCACCGGGAAAAGCTCGTGGTGGATGATCAATCCAGACGGTGGGAAAGGTGGAAAGGCACCCCGGAGACGTGCTGTCTCGATGGACAATAGCAACAAGTACACAAAGAGCAGAGGGCGGGCCGCTAAGAAAAAGGCAGCCCTGCAGACAGCCCAGGAGACAAGCGAGGATAGCCCTTCTCAGCTCTCCAAGTGGCCAGGGAGTCCCACCTCCCGCAGCAGTGACGAGCTGGATGCATGGACAGATTTTCGCTCACGTACGAATTCAAACGCCAGTACGATCAGTGGCCGCTTGTCACCGATTTTGGCAAGCACCGAACTAGATGATGTTCAAGATGACGACGCTCCGCTTTCTCCCATGCTGTACAGTAGTCCATCGAGTTTGTCCCCATCAGTAAACAAACCGTGTACTGTGGAGTTGCCTAGGTTGACTGATATGGCTGGGACAATGAATTTGAACGATGGACTGACAGATAACCTCATGGATGATCTCTTGGACAATATAACACTCCCTCCCTCCCAGCAGTCGCCCACAGGAGGGATAATGCAGAGAAGCTCCAGTTTTCCGTATGGTTCCAAAGGTTCAGGGCTGGGTTCCCCGTCAAGTAGTTTCAACAACGCCGTGTTCGGGCCGTCATCCCTGAATTCCCTCCGCCAGTCGCCCATGCAGACCATTCAGGAGAACAAGCAAGCCACCTTCTCTTCCATTTCTCATTACAACAACCAGACGCTGCAGGATCTTCTCGCCTCTGATGCACTTAGTCACAGCGATGTCATGATGACACAGTCTGATCCACTCATGTCACAAGCCAGCACAGCTGTGTCCGCCCAGAATTCCCGCAGGAATATAATGCTCCGCAACGACCCCATGATGTCGTTTGCTGCACAGTCCAGCCAGGGCGGTCTGGTCAATCAGAGCCTGCCTCATCACCAGCACCAGTCCCACAACTCCTCCCTTAGTGGCAGCCGTGCCTTGTCCAATTCCATCAGTAACATAGGCTTGAGTGACTCAAACAGCTTGGGATCCTCCAAACATCAGCAGTCACCTGTCAATCAGTCTATGCAAACACTTTCTGACCCGCTCTCAGGCTCCTCTTTGTACTCCTCTAGCGTGAACCTCCCGGTCATGGGACATGAGAAATTCCCAAGTGACTTGGACCTGGATATTTTCAATGGGAGCTTGGAGTGTGACATGGAGTCCATTATCCGCAGTGAACTCATGGATGCAGATGGGCTGGATTTTAACTTTGATTCCCTCATCTCAGCTCAGAACGTTGTCAGTCTGAATGTGGGGAACTTCACTGGTGCTAAACAGGCTTCATCACAGAGTTGGGTACCAGGCTGAAGGATCTTTGAGAACAGGGAAAATGGGCAAACAGGTCAGTGCCCTGTAGATGTGGTAAAATACTTGGTTCTTTAGTTTTATTGGAGTTTGCACCAAACCCTTAATAGTTAGTGCACACTAATAATATTAATTTGGCTTGTGATGGCTTGCTATGTGTTGGTATGCAACAGGCACAACCAAGAAATGTTTGGAGGTGTGGAGGGAAACGAGGCTAAGCTATAAAAGCTGTTCGGCTGCAACTCTGTCAGCACGCATCTGATGCTATGCGTCCTTCTTAATTTAGGCATGAGAAATGTTAATGACAAATCAGGCAAACCAAGGTGGAATTTTTGTGGGTTTTAGGAATCACAGAGCTCCAACTTGTCTTCTTTGAAGTCGCAACAGATGGATTCTTCTCTGCAGCCAATGCCGCACATAGCCAAGCTGTGTTAGGGCAAGGGGCTTTACAGCCAGTGGTGCAATAGTGCTGCAGGGGAGGAGGAAGAGCATCTTTGCATGATCAGTGAGGATCGGGTATGTGGGACAGATCTGGACTGAATTAGAGTTGTACTGCTGCTGTTGTACAGCACCGCTAGCAAAATTGTTTGGGTTTTTTTTTTAATTGTGTTTCTTGGCAAAAAAAATCATGTAGCAAATCAAGGAATTATGTATTGAAATAGCAAAGGTGGGATCCTGGTCTCAGGAACGTCCTGGGTTTAATGTTTTAAACATGCAAAAGTTGTTGGTCCTTGCAAGGACTGGGGTTGGTATAATTTTCTTTTGGATTCCCCCAGGAGACTATCCGTAGGCTTGGATTCTGACATAGGTGCTTTTCACATGTTGGCCTCTTCAGATTAATTTTTTCCAGATTGATGTGGGTTTTTCCATTGCTTCTTTTCCACAACTTGGGGGCATTTTAACTTGTAAACATTGTTTCTGTCATTCTTTTGTGATTCTGCAGGGTCCCGCCCATACCTCTGCCTGCTCACACGTACATATTCACTGACTCATAGGATAGGTGCCACACAAAGTGCCCTTTCTCCTTTGTTTATTTATTAATACAAGGGAGTAGATTTCAAAATATAGTAGGATAAAAGGTTAGCTATAAATTATTGAAAGTGTTCTATTAACTGCAGAATAGTATGTAGAGTATCCCAGAGGTGAGGTTAAATGAGGTATTCATTCAGTTTTCAGCTTACTTCCAACTTTCTTATTTTCTGGATGAAGGATGGAAAGAGGGAGTCAGTGTCGTTTGACTTTATGGTACATAATTTGCCCTTTCATCTTTAATTGAGTTTTCATTCTCTGTTCCACTGTTAGATGTTCACGGGGAAGCTTTGCAGTAGGTGAACAGCAGTGGTGAACCTTCTGAATCTCTTCCTGTGTGTACGGAGTACCACAGGAGACGTGTGCTGTGGTCTGATGTCTGTGAAGGAGAACAAGACTGCCCAGGAGTCCCCCTCTCAGTCGTTCTGCAAAGCTGCCTCGCTCCGGTGGAGCAGTTGGTTTGCTCGGCCTTTTCGCTGCCGGTGGGAGGATTTCCTCGGTTCTTTCATACCTTCTTGCACAAAGGAAGAGTGTCACAGTGCATGGCCAGGAGACAGGCTGTGGAGGTGGGCTGTAGAGGACGCCATGTCCCGCTGACCCTGCATGGGACAGCAGCTTGGCAAGGCCAGGGCCACAGCAGAATTCTGGTTTTCCTTCAGTTCCAGTGCTGGAGAATTTAAGAATGGAAAGGCAGGGGAGGCGGGGGGGCAAGAATTGACTCATGAACCGCTAAACAAAAACTTGTAGAAGGTCACGTTTGCTGACCAACTGTCTCTTCCTCCAGGTTCGTGAACTGTTTGGATTTAAAAACCCTTTTTGCATGAGGTGAAAAAAAAAAAATGCTGTAGGAACTTTATCGCTGTGAAACATCACACGGTACAATCTGCCAAATGGGGCCTAAAAACCAGATGTTATTGACAGCTTTGCTTGACACAGGCAAACAGGGCAGCCTCCTGCTTTCCTGTCTTCGTTTGCCGTGGCTAGGTAGAAGATGCCTGTGGGGAGACCTGCCTGGGCAGCGCGGAGGAGGCACACCACGCCACCTCCTCACTGATGCTCACCGCTGCCTCGTCACCCCAGCCTGTGCCATTCACGGAAAGCGTAGCCGCCGTGATCTTTTTCAGGCTGCTCCCTCTGAATAAATGAACTGACACATCTGTGTGAGCAGAGTCTCATTGCAGAGGACAGATTTGTTAACGAGACAGCTCTCCTCGGTGGATTACTGTCCAGTCATGTGTGGAAGCCTCTTTCGCTCTCTCTGACAAGTGGACCGGCTGCTGTGGGGTGCCTCCGGTATCAGGTGCAAGTGCAGATGATTTCTGCTGAGGTGGTTCATCATGCACCCTTCATCGTCTGTTAAGCAGCCCTGTTTCAGAGTTTGCCTCCCTATGAGAATTTCATATTTTGATAGGAGCACCTCGCGTGGCATTGAATGCAATCGTTCTGAATTGCTTTCTCGGTTATTTCTCTGCTTTGCTGTGGCAATAGGGACCCCTGAATTAAAATCTTCACTTTGCAGTGTTCGTGTTCCCAACAATGAATCTTTACAAGCCTGAAGACTGGGTAACGTTTTCAGCAGAGCAGCCTGGAGCTTGCTCGTGCTAAATCTGTTTCATGAGGGTGGCCAGGTGCATTTTGCAGGCAGGCAGAAGCAGTTACAATGGGTTATTGGCATACCTGGGAATAGTGAGTGCTGTGTTTCCTATGAAAAATAAGAGAAACATTGGAGTCAGTCTTTGGGAAGAAAAGAAAGAAGCCAAATACGTAGGTATTTAGTTTATACATACTCTAGGTATAGAGGGGCATTTACTTTGGAAGAAAATCAACTACAGTTTCTTCATAGGGGAAGTGAAAAAAAACATGCAGGAGATGCCACTGTTGCGGGTTTAGTGGCTCTGCACGTTTGCTGCACGTAAGCCTGTGGACGGTCTCCGTGCTGGCCCTATGCCTATGAGGCTGGCCATGCCCACTTTCAGAGGGCCCTAATGGAGGCATATAAACGAATTTGGGTTTGCTTTGGTTTTTTGTTTTGGTTTGGTTTTTCTCTTACAAGAAGGAAAGGAGAAAATCAATATGCTTTTTTCTTGCTTTATTCACTCAGCCATAATTTTTCCCTCTTAAGCTGGCTGGGGCCTCTGTTCCTCTGTCTCTGCCTGCTTCCCAGGAGCACTGGATATGCTCCCCGCCCACTCAGATAATCATCACCTTGCTTTTCCAGCTTGTTTATCAATAAATAAAGATGTCACTATTCCCTCACCTGTCTCTAGAATACCTTTTGTTTTGAAATTAATGGGTCCTGTCTCAGCCTGGGCTTCCCACAACTCTGCACTCCATGGCCCTCAGCTAGCGAGTCCCAAGGGACTTGGCATTCGCCAAAGAGTAGTCCCAAACGGAGTGGCAGGCGAGACTATTCAGGACATTTACTGCTGCCTGGAAGGTCAGGAGCCAACTACCGCTTGGGCAAACGTTTCCTTGGGCCTCAAAACTCACCCAAGTTGTTTTTACCTCAGTTGTTGCAGTGATCCAGTTTACAATGGCGTTGCGCGGGCAGCGATGCTGGCAGGGCTTGGGCAGGGGCGGAGGGCGGCTCAGCACAAGCAAGGCAGGAACTTGAGCTGGTTTCACCATCTGAAAAACTCATCTAGCTGCATCTTCTGAGAGAGATTTCAGTGTGCCATTTAGTGCGATTCCTCTGGGCTCCGTAACGGAGCTGTGCTGGAGTCACGTTGACTTGTTCGAAAATCGCAAATGAAATACTTCACAGATCAGTTAAAGTCACTCATTTCGCCCTAGCATCATCTAGGTCCCACATCACCTTACTGTAGCAGTAGAATGCGCAAGCTACTAATAGCCACATCATGAAACGTTAGCACAATTTGATGAATAACATCTCTGATAAAGCAAAATCCTCGGAAACGTAACGAAATGCCTGTTGGTATTTCATTAGTCCGTATCAGTTTGGACTACTTGCCAGTTTGTTAATTGGTGTTCAACCTGTTTCTGGGTGAAATTCATACCAAAGACAAATGCATAGGTCTGAGGGTGACTTACTGTTCACTACAACACCATCTTAAAAGTTGAAGTAGGTAGTGAAAAGATCCCCATTTGGATGGAGTTTTGAATCAGAGACCTCTGGACAATATGCCATGAGGAAGATGATTTTTATTCTTTACCAGAAGCCTTGTTTTCTGCTCATTAAAGCTGAAACGTGGAAACCCGAATCAGTAGACCTCTTGCCTGAGGATGCTGACAGCCTCAGGACCATAGCTGCATTTCCTCCTCTCTTATTTTCAAAAATGAGGTCTTAGGGGTAGGGCTGGCAGGTTTCTTACACGGAGCCAAGATGGGGCTGGCTGCCTTTAAAAAATCCAAAAGAAATTCAGGAGCAGCAAATTCTTCTGCTCCATTTCTAACAGGTTAGTGGTTAAGGCGGTGGCACGCTTCTAACATTTAAGTGTTGTTTCAGCCAGCCCAGGTTTTGAAAGGTGGTTTTGTGACTAGCTGAACATCACACGTGCCAAGTTTGGTCTTTGAACAAAAACATCTATGTAGAAAGCTTATTTCTTTGGGAACAGGGATCCCATTAATGCCAATGAGGGCCTGCCTCGGTGAGGCTCCTCGCTCTCCAGGCACACACCAGTGGCACGGGAGCAAACTCGGTCCTCATGGCCGCTGGGGAGGAGGAGAGGGGAAAGCCGGGCAAACCCCGCTAGGGTTGCCCACCATGTGGTCCTGCTGGCCATAGTGCCCCTCGAAGGCCCTTGCAGACAGGAGCCAGTCCTACACTTGCAGGGATGCGGTGGCTTTTGCTGCTGAAGACAGCAGGAGCTGACACACAAGCATGATGAATCGTTTGCTCCTTCTGGGAATAGGGCTTTTTGGTTTTGGTGTTTGCTTTTTTTTTTAATCTGGAATTATGTTTGGGGTTTTATTAACCCAGGAAAAAGATCCGTAACAACTAGGATTGCCCCCGCCAGCTTGTGTTGTTAGTATACAGCAGCTGAAGCC